CACTTTTATACTGTACACAAATTCAGAAGTGAAGAAAAAAGTGGATGCGAAATGAGCAGAGCTGATGTGATGATATTCGGTGCCCACAAAAATATATAAGTAAAGCAGAATCGTCCCCCTTGTTTGGTGCCGTTGTCTATCGTCGTTGTCGTCAGGTCAACTGTCTATTGTCCTACAAATCCCCCCGCTGAACCGATTCCAAACAGCAATTTGGTCTCAGTGTCTTGTATCCTTGTTAACAACGACAACGACAATTGTATAAGTGTTGAAGAAACTTTGGCATGCCTTCAGCGATCCAGCTGCTTTCAATGAGTTCTTTTTTCTTCCCAATTAATTTTTTTGAGTTAGTTAACTACTTCCGGAAAATAAGATAGATTTATTTTCACTTAGAAGCAAACAAAATCTATTCATAAGCGAAACTTATAAAGAAATTTTTTCTTGGCCTACGTCTATGAATATTTGTAATCGTATTTGTGCGCAAAGGTATGTTTATTTGAATATGTTTATATTTAAAACTTCAGTAAACAAAAGTACCAGCCTAAAAAAAAGCAAAACGAAAAGAAGGGAAAAGAAGAAGGGAATAATTGCAAAATCTCTCTGTGATCAAAAATCTTCACCCTCACATTCATAAGCATTCAAACATCAATTCCACACAACGCACACAGCCATGAGCACAAACACCGAGCAACATTGCCCAACCGGTGAGGCAACTGCAATGAAATCGAAACGCCTCCTGCCTATCGAGTTGTAAGAGAACTATGGCAAAGAAAGAGAGGGAGAGGCAGCGATACAGACGGGCTAGAGAAAACCAGATCATAGATGAAAAACGACAACAACAATCGCGCAGCAACAATGCGCCACACACTACACCGCATCAACGATAAAAACCGATGTGTGCGTATGCGCGTGCGTAATTGCGTATGTACACGCGGGCGGGCGAGTGAGAGAGCAAGCGGTGTTCATCAACGATTGTGTATCGGTGATGGTGGCTGCGGCGGTGGCGGCCATCGTTGTTGTTTTTGTCGTAGTGTTGGTGATGGTGATGGTAGTGGTGGCGGCGTTGTTGGTGCTGTAGATGCTGCTGATGTTTGAGGGCTGTAACTGCCGTTGGTGTCGTCGTTGATAGCAGTGGTAATATTTTTTGATTCTGATTCTGGTGCTAGTGCAGAGATGACAACGTTGACAGCAGTTGCACGGATGCTGATTCTGTTATTGCTGTTGCGGGTCGTCTGGTTGTGTACGAGTGGTAGTGAGCTGCTTGCTGGTTTTGTGCGTGTGTTTGTGATTCTGTGTGCTTTGATTTATTGATGATTTTTTGCTCTTAGAAGAATTTTCCCATCTGATTTCGTCAACAGATCTGCTGTAATTTTTTCCACTTTTCTTGCTGCAATTTCTGGTAAGACTTTGGTGCTGAAATGCCAGTTACGGCTTTTATATTGGGGCATTTTTTTGTCTGCCATTTTTCCAATTGATAATGATAAGAGCTTCAGTAACGTTGCCTGCTCTTCCTTGTTTTCAGATTTTGTCCATTCACTTCCAAACCTCTATTTTCTCTGCTTTGTTTTCTGGCTCAATAGGACTCTGACGTAATACAAGTCTTGTTTTATATTTTCGAATATGTGTTCGCTTCAATTTCCTTTTTCTAGGTTGTTCACACATAGTTACCTCCCATCTTTTGCAATGTACTCGTTGGAGAGGGATTGATTAAATAGATGTCATGTTAATTACCGTTTATATGCGGAATGAAATTTTCGCTGTAACTGAGTTATAACTTTAAGAGGTAATTGATTTGGATGTATCGCCCTAAAAATGAATTAAACATTGTGAGAAAATTGCACCTTGTTGTTGATTGGAACTTGATAGGTGTGACATTAACGGTGTGGTTGCCAAGCCCTTTGGTTTGTGATTATTTCCAGTTGCGGGACAGTTTAGCACGGGAAGTCTTGCAACCGTATCTTTAGTCACGAACTTTAGTGACCGGTTCGGTGGCAAGAATAATGTTAAGAATAATTCTTAACCTACTTCACTCACCAATGACTAATTCTTCATAATTTTACATCAAAAATGTGTGATCATTTTTATCTCTTTATTTACTTGGTTTTTTGCGTGGTAACTTCTAAACATCATCGCTTATCAACTTTTTAAGTCTGCCATCAGTTATAAATACTTCCTCTTTGTTGTTGAGACCGCAGAACGGCCAACAGGTTGCACACGTTCTTCATCACTTGTAGGGTTTCAAATACAGAGAACATTTGTCTCATCACTTTGGACGTTTAGGTTTTTGGCCCTTCAGCTCTGTTTGAGGAGTGTATGTGAAATCGCGTTATTCAAATACTATTCCATACAAAGCTTTGCTTTTTCATTTGGCTGCAGATTTTCATTAAATGACTAAAGTTACAGTTTTTCGTGATCTTTTGGCAGGTGCGCTCAAAAACTCACTCTACTTAATTTCACTCACTATCGTTATAATTTTGAACGTTTCCCGCTTGTTGCTCCGCTCTCAATTGAGTCCTACTCCTCATAACGTTCATTGGCAGTTCGCTTAATAATCAGTGCTGCCAATATTTTCAATAGGAAATTTGTAGCATGTGGCTTTGAAGTTCCTGGAGCGATTTTTTTTTTCGATGTGCTCATACCTACGTATCTATTACTGATATTTCCTGAATTCTGTGTTGCTAAACTGTGATGTAGAAGTCAAAATTTTCCTTACATTTTCAAAAGTCGTGTCTTACAGTTTGGAAGCGGTTGCGTGCGAAACTGAATTTTTTATTACCAGGGTAGTAATGTATACTTAACTGTTTAGGGAATTGTTGAAAGAGAATGTCACCACAGCAGTCGGGAAATTTAGGCTGTTTTAGTGGCGCGACGCCAAAACGGCATTCGAGAGACGATAGATGCCATCATTTACGAACTGAAGTGAGTTCTTTGAACCGTTTAGGAGGGAGGAGGTTTATTATTCATTTCAGGCTACGTTGTATTTGATCTCTCGTTTTTCAGTTTCTGCAGTTAGTTTCCGGAGGTAGTAATGTGATGTCTAGTGCGAGATGTCGAAGTCGGAGATCGTTTTTAAATCGGCCAAGCTCGGAAGAGGCCTACCCTCTGTGCAATCGCCCACATTCGTATTCGGAGCCGATGTGTCTAAGCGCTGGTTTATCACCCGTAACTAAAACACCAGTCACATGTAAGAGCTCACCATACCTGGGGTTTTTTGAGACAGGAGATCCTGTGAAACCGTGTAGCACTCCTCAAAGTTTGAAGAAGAAGAAGTGTGAGTCACTTTCCTTTCTCAGCGTGTACAGATTTTCTGCATTTAGTGGTACTTGAAGGTATGCTCGTGACATGGGAGCTTTTGAAGGTTAGAAAATTGGTTTCAGGTGGGTCTCGTCCACGGCAGCTTCAAAGTCCGGATTCATTGAAAGCGTTAGCTGATAGGTTCGCGAGTTCGAGGTATAGCGACTCTCCTAAGGCAAAACAGCTTCCATTGCCTCCGGTGCACTGGATCAATGACGGATCTTCTCTAGACCATTTTAATGGTACGGTTGTAAACTATGGATCAGTAGGATTTTTGTTTTTGTAAGGTTTGAGCTTTCAAACTTCGCTAAGAGAAAGTATATTACTTTAATAATTGCAGACCGGTTGAGCGTATCGAGTTCGTCAAATCGCGGGTCGCCAGATTTCTTCGGCACTTCATTTTCATCTCAATATTCTGAAGATTCTTGTAGTTTGAGTCATTCGCCGGAGTTGATGTTAGACGGCACACATGCTTGTCGTGCGACGCCAGTGCATATGAATGCTCTTCAGCTGATTGAAGCTGTCTCAGCATCGTAGTTTTGTCGCAGTCTTTTTTTTTTTCTTTGTGCGTGAGTGTGTGTGTGCGTGTGTGTTTATTTGTTTGGTACAAGCTTCCTTATTTTTATGATAGTAATTGGAGGGGACTCTTTAGTGAGCATTTTTATTCTTCAGATATGTGTATACGATTTGTTGTCGTATGGTGTAAGTTTAGTGTGTTTTTCTTCCGTGGTTTATGGGTTCTTCTATTCTTATTATTTAGCAACTTAATTTTTCCATTAATTTTTGTTTCTTTATTTGTTTGGATAAGGTTCAAAGTGGGTGAAGGGTTTTTTCTTTCTTGTGCTTCGTTGACTTTTGGAAAATGGTTGTATTATGCTTTATTTTTTGGTCACTATGTATATTGCCGCCTTTTCTCACATTCGCTTTTTTGTTTTTTTTTTTCTTTTTTCGTTTTTTTTTTTTTTTTTTTTTTTTTTTTTTT